AAGGATATTAACTTATTGGTTCGAATTCAGATTTTTTATTATTAAAACAAGTATATGAAAAACCTTCTCACATAAGTATAATTGGCTATCGTATTATTAATAAATTCCAATTAAAATGTTAGCTTAGAATAACAAGCTATGAAATTTGAGTCATAATACACTAGTAAATGTTTGAAAAGTAATAGTAACTTACCCTTAAAAAAGGTATTCTACTATTAATCCACTTCAGGAGGTCGGAAGCAAGGCATTCATAATCCTCCATTAACTGTTCATTTTTCCTATTAACACTTAAAACTTTTGAGATTCTATTTGCAGCAGTCTCTGCCTATTAGGGTAAGGAAGTTATGAGAGTTAATAAAGCAAAATAACCAACTTTTTGAGCACCTGCGAAAGCATGGTAGTAAGCTGCAACATAAGTCATCACAGATCTCTCATCGGGCTTCACAGTTGTAACCATATCTTAAAAATGAGAAATAAAAGAAATTAGGTAAAAAATAGCACTTTAGAATAAGACTGAATATGTAAATCCCGTATTAAATTTAATACTAAAAAATAGCACAGCTTACGACAAGGAAATAAAAAATCATAAATACCTTCGGCATCCAACATGCGTGGAATGTCAAGATGTTTCTCTGCAACGTCGAAGGCATAATTAAGGTTTTCTAGAGGATTGTCCTGGATTAAAATGGTAGAATAAGTAAGTGTTTCAAATATTAAACCTGGATTGTAAATGTCTAATTTACCCTGGACAATCGAGAATAATCAATCAGCTCAGGTCTGTGACGATGAATAAGGGCGCAGAAAGCTAATCCATCCTTCCAACTAAAAGTTTTATATTCTATTAATTAGTATTTTTAATTAACACACTTGCTAGGCAGACTAACAAATTTACCTCATGTGGAAATTTTGTACATTCACATTTCGGTAGGGTGCCGTTTTTCTCTGGCACCATAAAAGCAATCCCTCTTTCGCACACATTTCTATAAAATAATTTTACAAAAAAGAAAAAGTGCCTTCGACGGTAATATCTTGGATGCAGAACCTCAGGATAATGGTCCAGATCATGCCCAATGTCATTTTTGAATTTCCATCGACAATTTCTGA